TTTTTTGAGTCTTGCTCTGTTGCCCAGGCTGGAGTGTATTGGCGAGATCTCAGCTCCCGGATTCAATCGATTCTCCTGGCTCGCCCTCCCGAGTAGCTGAGATTACAGGTACCCGCCACCATGCTCAGCTAATTTTTGTATTTTTATAGAGATGGGGTTTCACCATGTTGGCCAGGCTGGTTTCAAACTCCTGATCTCAGGTGATCCACCCGCCTCAGCCTCCCAAAGTGCTGGGATTATAGGCGTAAGCCACCGCACCTGGCCAAGAGGTGCCCTTTTCTGATGCGCCCAAAAGCACCTGGTGAACCAGCACAGGCCTTGCTCCCGTGGGAACCTCCCCGCGGAAACTTTCCAAATTCTGGAACTGTGTATGGGTGACCCCTAGAAAACCTGGGGCAGCAGCGCCCCACGGACTAACTCGCGGAGGAAAGCATGTCAAAATCCTCGGCTCTCAGCCCTCCCCCAGGGAGGGAAAGGAGAAAGGCCCTGCCCTCCTCAAAGTGGGCTCCCCAAGGCCTGCGGGGGAAGCGGCAGTCGTCCTCGCCGCTTGGTGCCCTGGCCGAGCCTCACCTGCCGTACACGTTGGCCGCCCAGTCCAGCAGAAGATAGAGCTGCTCGCAGCCGCGGGCATCGCGCGCGAGCTCCTGGAGGCGCTGGGCGACAGCGCCGTGGAAGGCACGCAGGTAGACCTCCCAGGCCGGGAAGCCGGCCGCCGAGTACGCGGGCTGCACCTCCTGCCACACCTTCTGCAGGTCGCGGCGAACCAAGCCACCCAGCTCGGCCAGAAGCTGGGCCAGGCCCGACGCGCCCTCGGCCTCCCGCGTGCCCGGCTGCCGCACGCGCTCCTGAGCGCTTCGCCTCACCGCTTCCTCCCAGTGCTGGCGCCAGCGGCGCGGCGTGCGCAGGAAGTCGCCGTCGTCTGGGGGCGCGGGGTGGGCCTCCTCCTCCGCGCGCACCACGCGGGCCAGCTCGGCCAGCGCGGCGGCGTCCACGCCTTCGGCGCCCAGCGTCTCGCGCACGATGGCCCCGATCTCAGCTGCCAGCCCGTCGTAATGCAGGCACACGTCCATGGCGCGCCGCGCGAAGGCCGTGGGGTCCTGCTCAAAGGTGCGCGAGGCTTTATCCGCCACCAGCCGCGTCTCCAGATGCAGAAGCTGTTCCAAGGCCGCCAGCAGTTGCCGTTCAGTAATGAGGTCTGCCACGGATTTGCCTTCTGCACTGGCAGGCGAGAAGAGGGGCGGTGAGAGGGACCGCCCCAGCCCCCGACCTGGACGAAGACCTGCAGGCCATGTCTCCATCTACCGGGGCTGGACTGCCTGGCCTCTGCGCGATGCCCCAGCCCAGCTGAAGGCCTGCTCCAGGAACAGCAGGCTGCAGCTGCCAGGAGCCCTCCCTTAGAGCCACCTTTGAAAAGGCAGAACCTGGGACCCCAAGCCTGGCTGAATAGAGCCATTTATCAGCCCTGCCTTCCGCCTGGCTCCCACGCCCGGCTCAGCCGGACTTGATACCTTCATGCACAGCCTTGATTGCAGGTCTAATGAGGTCAGAGCTCAGGCAGGGCGTGTCCTGCCCGTGTGCACTTTTACATTCCTGCTGCTCCCGGCTCTCTTCCAGCCTCCACCCCACAGGAGCCCTCCACCTCTATGGTGGCCCCTCTTCCCTCCCAGTGTGTCCTCCTCTAGACAATCCCCCTGACCTTCCTCCTGGCACCTCTTCGAGCCTTGCACCCTCTGCAACCCTGTGACCAGCTGTGCACATGGCCCTAGCTTGACCCGGAGCCCGCGGTGGAAGGCCATGGAGAGGCTGGGGATCTGGGCTGTGCAGACCTGGGTTCAAGTCCCATTCTCCATGCTGTGAGACTTGAGGCAAGTCACTGCACCTCTCTGAACCTCACTTTTCTCATCTGCCCAATGGTGGGGGGCTCCCATTGCAGGGATGCTGCAAGAATTTCAAGTGCAATTGTCCAGCTGGGCACGGTGGCTCCTGCCTGTAATCCCGGCACTTTAGGAGGCCAAAGCAGGAGGACTGGGTGAGCTCAGGAGTTAGAGGCCAGCCTGGGCAACATAGCAAGAACCCTATCTCTACAAAAATAATACAAAACATTTTAAAAATTAGCTGGGTGCAGTGGCTCACGCCTGCAGTCCCAACTACTTGGGAGGCTGAGGTGGGAGGATTCCTTGAGCCCAGGAGGCCAAGGTCACAGTGAGCTGTGATTGCACCACTGCACTCCAGCCTGGGTGACAGAGTGAAACCCTGTCTCAAATAAATAAATAAATAAGTGCCCATGTCCGGGCCAGGGTTTGGGGAGCTAGGGAGGAGAGCCTTTCCAGAAGCCTCGGCTCAGCTGCCCCGACCTCTGGCCCATTTCCTTTCATGCTTAGTGTTTCTGAGGCCCTTCCTTACCTGCCTCGGGTTTCAGTTCCTCAGACGCTGCCCCAGGAGATGCCTGCTGGCTGACAGCATTCGTGACCTCCGAGGGCACCTCAGGAGTGGCCTGGGAATGGCCAGCAGCTGGGCCCTCGTCCAGGGCTCGCCGGAGGGACCGGAACAGGGAGCAGGAGCTTCGCCTTAGCAGACCCGCGTCTTCCTTGGAGACCTGGGTCGAAACCCGCTGGCTGGCCCGGGAGAAGGCCTGCTTCAGGGTGCCCAGGCCCAGCCTTGTGCCATCGACGCGGTGGCCACTGGGCTCTTTCCTGCTGCCTGTTCGCCGGGAGCTGTGAGCTGGAGTCTGCAGCTCCTCAGCCTTCCTGGGGCTCTGCAGTTCTGGCCCAGGAGTCTCTGTCCGCGGTGAGGACATCTTGGCAGCAGGCGAGCTGGGGGCAAGAAGGAGGCTCAGCAGGCCTGGAGGCTGCCCAGGAGCAGCCACAGGGAACCGGGAAATGTGTGCAGCCCTTGCGGCCTGGCCACGCCCAGGGGCTTGGTCAGGGGAGGCTTCCCAGAGGAGGCAGCCCTCAGGCTGTCAGAAGGAAGCGTCACTGGCGTCACCAGGCCACTCAGCGAGAGCCCTCAGTGTGCCAGGCCACAGCTGGGCATGGAGATACGCACTGCTGCTGCCATCAGGAGCCTTCCCTGAGACCATCCCCAAAAAGCGTCTCCCCAGGTGCCCAGTGCCAGGCGGGACTCTCCCATTAGAATTGGAGGAGGGAGTCGATGTGCAGGTTGTGGGGCGCAGTCCAGGCCACAGCTCACAGCACCGAGGGCAGGACCCGCAGCCACGTCTAGGCCTTCCTGGATCCCTGACCCCCTTCCCCAGCCACCACCAGCCCCTTCACTGCCCTCCGGGTCCCTCAGCTCACCCCCCGTCAGCCCAAAAGGCCCGATTACTTTGGCTCAAAGGGGAGGGCAGGGATCCCCATGGGAGCCCACCCCCTGCCCTGGGTGTCACAGAGCCTGTGGAGCTGGTGTGGGGCCTGAGGGCACTGGCCAAGGCCACCCTGAGGCTTATCATGGCGGTGCAGCTGCAGGGGCGGCAGCAGGAGGAGCCTCGGGTCTATATTTAACTGGGGACTGGGGGGGTTCTTAACGCTGTTTCCCACCCATTGCCTCTCCCCCTCCCCCCCTCCACCACAGTGTGCTCTGGCCCCTCCCAGACACAGGGAATTGGGGGATCCCAGGGACACGGGGGTGCTGAGCCTCAACTGCTTCTGCTCCCCCACAGCAGGCTCCGCCCACACCCCCTTCCAGCCTTCACAGCTGTGCTTGCTTTCCTGGTTTTAGGCTGGGAGAGAGGAGGGGCCTCCCGCCCACCCCACTGTGGAAGCTGGGCCATGGGCAGGGGAGGGTATTAGGCCAGCAAAGTCTCACTTTCCCCTGGGAGAAACTGGGGCCAAAGAAGGGCTCGATCTGCCCCTAGCCCAGCCCCAGTGCCCCCCCACCCAGGTGCCAGGACCAAAGCCCTGGCCAGACCCAGCACCCAACTGCTGGGTGACATCGGACAGGAAGTGGGCCTCCCCAGGCCCCAGTTTGCCAGGGTGGAAGGACACCAAGGTGGGCAGGGCCCAGACCCCACTCACCCTCACCCTCCAGCAAGGTGCCTACCTACCTTTCTCGAGGTTCCCAGAGGCGGCCAAGCAGCTGGACAGAGGCCCAAGGTGGGAGCGACAGCCAGGCGGTTGATGGACTTTATCAGCCCTGCCCTGGCCACAGGTCGGCGACTTCCCCCAGCGCCAGGCTTCAGAGACCCTGCCTGATTCAGATGTGACCCACACACTTCAGGGCGCCATCTGTCCCAGCCTCCACTCTCCCCTCTCTCCCTGGTGCCCTCCATGCTTGGCATGGGGGCTGGTGCCCAGCAGGGCAGGATGTCGTGAAGAGAACCGTTCAGCACACACCTCATCCTCTGCTGTCAAGGGGGCGGGGCCCGGGGTGTGGGGCAAGGGTGAGCCAGGCTCTGCCTTCCTGTTTGGGAGAGCTCACACTTAGTAAGCACCTACTGTGTGCCCAGCTCGAGGCCTGACACAGATCAGCTTCTGTGACAGCAAAGATAGGCAGTGTCCTTTGCCCATTTCACAGATGAGGAACCTGAAGCTCACAGAGGGACACAGTCTACAGCTCAGAGCCAGGAGCAGAGGTGGGACCTGCCGTGTCTCCACCCCGAGGGAGTCAGAGCTGCCGCCCAGAAGCCCCTCCTCCCAGCTGAGACCCCCAGGGTGTCAGCAGGTCCCAGAGTGGGGTCGGATGTGGAGGTCCTCTCCCAGGAGGCCCTGAGGAAGGCCAGGTAAGGAGGGGCAGCTATGCCGGTGAATCTTAGGAGGTTACACAGGCAGAGGTTTGAGAGCCGCTCAGCCTGCTTTTGTCCCAAAACAGAACTGCACTGAAGGGTCATCGTGGTCCCCAGATAGCCCCTCAGCCTCCAGCCATGCCACCTTCCACCCTGCAGCTCCTGACAGCGTCCCGAGCCATTCTCAACCTTCCCAAAGCAGAAGTCCAGCCAGGTCACTCCCCTGCTTTAAACCCTTCCGTGGTTCCCACCTGCCCAAGCCCCGCAGCCGGGCATCCATCCTGGAGCCAGCTCCCTGCACCTCCACCTCCCACTGACCCTGCCTCGGCAGCTTCCCCCGGGGTTCATGGACGACCCGCACCCCCCCAGCCACCTCTCTGTCCTCCCAGCTGCACGCCCAGCCTCCGGCTTCCCCTGTTTGCTCTTTACAACTGATCTGGGTTTCAGGACGTTGGGTACAGATTCCTGGCACCACCCACTGTCACCATCTGTCTGCTCAGTGGCACACGGGACTGTCCCTGTGGTGACCTGGCCCTCTGCCCTGGCCTGGCAGCCTCTGTCCATCTACCCCCCTCACCGCAGAGCACAGCCTAGAATGGGGGACACATGGATGTCAGGGTCGCCCCGCCTCCCTGGGCTGGCCTGCCTGCTGCCACGCTAGGGCCTGCAGGCTGAGACCTGAAGGCCCCTCTCCACTCCCCCCTCCACCTCCCAAGGCTCTCGCTTGGCCTGTCCCTGTTCCTGTGCCTGCCTTTCCACAACCCGTGGACTCTCTCTGGCTCTCTTTCTCTCTGAGTCTCTCTGTCCCGGTGTCCGGAAGGTCCAGGGGGGCCGGCTCCTGTGCTGCCGCTCCCTGACTGCAAGGCCCTGGAGACCAAACCCGTCCTGAGCCCCAGGTCCTACTCTCCCCAAGTCAGGCTAACACACCCTTTGTGGGCCCAGCAGGGGCAGGAAGCCAGCCAGAGACACAGTCACTGAGAGTTCCCACCCTGGGCCACCCTAGCCGTGACCGAGAAGTCAAGCCTGGACTTCCCCACCCTGCCTGCCCCAGCCTCAGCTTCTCCTCCCCGCTTTCCCCCAGACCTCTCCTGCAGCCGCTCCTCATCCTCTGGCCACGCCACAGTGCTCCCAGCCTCCCACCTACGCTGGGACTGTTTTCACTCCACTCCTCAATGCTCAAAAGGAGCCTCTGGGGTGACTGCCTATACTGCACCCTGGGCCCAAGCCCTGGCGGGGTTGGTCCCCTCTCACATCCCCACCTGCCACCACCTCCCCTGATCACAGCCTCGGAGCTGCTCTCCTTCCCAGGCGCCCTCAATGCCACCTCCTAGGATCAGTCATAAGAATCTTGCCAAAATGTAAACCTCCTTTGTTTATTGTTTTTAAGAGACAAGGTCTTGCTGTGTCACTTCACCCCTACTGGGGTGCAGGGGTGCAATCACAGCTCACTGCAGCCTCGAACTCCTGGACTCAAGCTGTACTTCCCCACCTCAGCCTCCCAAGTAGCTGGGACTACAGGTGCGCAACTCCATGCATGGCTAATTTTTTTATTTTTTGTAGAAACGGGGTCTCACTATGTTGCCCAGGCTGGTCTCAAACTCCTGGCCTCCAGTGATCCTCCTGCCTGAGCCTCCCAAAGTGCTGGGATTACAGGAGCGAGCCACTGCGCCTGGCCCCGTAAACCGCCTTTGAAAACTTTCCTCGCAGCTTCTCTTTTCCTCCTGGCCCCTCAAAATAAGGCAAATGACAAGGGGGTGTGTTCTCACCACTCCTGCTCCTCAACATTTGCTTGGAAGAACTAGTTAAGGCAATAAGGAAAGAGAAATAAATAAGAACTATAAACACTGGGAAGGAGCAGATTAAACTGTCATTATTCATAGGTGACATGATTATTGACTTAGAAAATCTGAGACTAAAAATTATTGGAGCTAATAAAAAGGCTTAGTAAGTTGTGTGCCTTGATTGATTATGTAAATACAGCCAACACTTTTCCATAACCTAGCAAAGCCTCTGAGAGCCACTTACAACACTTCCCTTCACAGGAGCAACAGAGCATAAGCCGCCTGAGCCGCTGTCGCCCTCGGAAGAGGCACAGCGCCCTCCTTAGCTTGGGATTCAAGGCCTCTTCTAATGACCCGTCTGGTTTCCTGCACTCTGATCACTCAGAAGTGCCCACCTCTCCTCCACACCTTTGCACTGTCCTTTCTGCCTACAATGTCAACTTATTGAAAGCTCAGCAGAAATGCCTCCTCCCCTGAGAAGCCTTCCCTGACCAGCTGAGCCCCTACCACAGTCGCCCCCTCCTGCTCCGGGCCTGGGCACACCTGCCTTGACTTGACAGAGGGACAGTTACCGAGCCTGGAGGCCAGGAGAGCCCCAGGCAGGGGGTGGGCCGGACTCAGCCCCCAGCCACAGCTGGTACTCCGCAGTCTCCGGGGGAAACCAGGAAGGCGAACCTGACGCTGGCGTGAGCAACTGGCCCCTGCACACTTGAGCGCACCGCATTCACACACCTGAGCGTCGGCCTGAGAGCGTCTCCCTGTATGTGTGACACTGCCCCGGAGTGTGCCCTAGCGGGCTGGGTCTGTCTGTGCCTGCAGGCCGTCTCTGTGTCTGTCTGTCTGTGCTTCTTGCCTGAGTGTGTCTGCTGTGTGTCGGGTGTGAGTGTGTGCGTGTGTGTCCGCTGTGATTTGTGCTGCCGCTCTGGCCCGGGCAGCCTGGGCTCTGAGTGAGGCCCTTGGCCTGGAAGGCCACACACAGAGCCGGAATGGTCCTCAGGCCTGAGAGTCGCCCCCGCCCGCCCACAGCACCCCATGCCCTCCTGCTCCACCTTCCCGGGACATACCTGCTGAGCACGCAGCCTCGGCCCAGGAAGAATGCAGCCACCTGAGAAGCTGGCCCGTGGGGCCTTCAGAGTCAGGCCCTGGCCATGGGGCCTCCGGAGCAGCCCGAGCGAGTGACTAACAGCTGGGACTTCCCAGCCATGGTCAGTGCCTGCCAGGCCCACCCGGCCCCACCCACAGCCCTGCCCTCCGCCGGGACCCCACACTTTCACTTTCAGAGAAGTTCCCACTTCCTTTTCATTCCAGAGGCAGTCACTCTAGCTTCCACTCCGGATAACACAGGGCTCAGGCCAAGGGTCAGAGAGTGAGGGAGGGCAGGGCTGCAGAGGACACACTCAGGGCTCGAGCAGCAGGGGGTGGACACCACCTGCGACCTGAAAACACCACCAGCCCCTCCTTTGCTCAGAGGCCAGGAGAAGCAGGCACTGGCCTGGGGGGACACTAGGCCCACAGCGCCTGAGCCCAGAAGGACCCCCGCCCCCCACGTCAGAGGCTCTAGCACCAGGCCGGCCCATCGAGTTCATCCCGAGATCCTGCAACCCCCATCAGGGACGCTCATGTTGAGAGCCACGTGCCATTCCCTGGGGCTTCAGGAGCTGGAGTAAGGGACGGGGCCCTGGGGACAGACGGGACACACTCAGGAGTGAGGAGGGACAGCATCCTGGGCAGGGGCAAAGGTGTGCAGGCAGGGCCCACTCCCCACACAGGAGTCAGGCGGGCAAGCTGCTGCAGGGAGGGCCACTGACACTTCCCAGAAGAGGCAGCCTCACCCCTGCACAGGGGGATTCCGCAGCCGGCATCTTAGGAAAGAACTCAGGGAAAATCCAAGGAGAACAGATCCAGACCTGTCTCAACCTGGGCTGGGGCCACCAGGGTGTGTGACAGGGCCGCTGCAGGGTGCTGACGTGGGCAGAAAAAGCCTCCTGCATCCTCCAGCTGAGGGCAGGGGTGGCCCCGTGCCCCCAGTGTCCTAGGGCTGAGGGCAGAGACGGCCCTGTGCTCCAGCGTCCTAGGGCTCAGGGCAGGGGTGGCCCCGTGCTCCAGCGTCCTAGGGCTCAGGGCAGGGGTGGCCCCATGCACCCAGCGT